TAGTATCAGGAGAATCAGGATCCTTGATCAGTCCTTTCAAACCCCCTGGAATCCTCTCCTCTCCAAATCTGGGTGAAAAGGCCATGACAAAAGGCACGTCAGCCAAATTGTTTTCAGCAGAGTTTTCTAAGCCAGTTCTATGCCCATTGCCTTAGGAAAGGGCAGAATGTTGTATCTAAACAACCATCTTTGAAAGTAGGAAAAGCCATTCCCATCCTGCGGATTCTTAGAGCTGTTATGCTTTTTCAAATAATGCTACTATTTTCTGCATTAAATGAAGAAATGTCTAACACCTGTGCTATAAGAGAACCCTTAAACAAGGAACAAATGAGTCATGCAGAAGACGAAAAGCAGTAACAGAAAAACATGTTGCAAGAAGTTCCAATAAAAAGAAAGAAATGAAACAAAGATGTTTGAGTACAGAAATCATGTCATTGTTTGCAGGAGTATGTATCTTTAGTAAAAAAAATAAGGCAATAGCACTAAACCCATGTTTCTCAAAGCATAGTACTTCACCAACAGACCTGAACAAATACCAATTAATAATACACTGCCAATAGAAAGATAACATAATGTAATGATTCTATCTATTCACGTATAGCCCAATGCATATCTCTTGCAGGACTCTATGGAATTTAATCAAAATGCTCCAAGATTTATATAAAATGTAAGAATTGAATAAGAAAGATATTTTATCACATACAATAACTATAAATCTAAACTGACAAAAAAGCTGTGTCGCCAATAAATAAACGAGCATAGTGATAATGTAGCAAAAATCAAACAAATTCACTAACATGATCTTTTATATGAAGATAAAGATATTTCAAACATAAAAAATTATCTTTAAGCAAACATGAATGGAATTAGTAACAAATTAATCAATCTTTAAAAAAATGAATCCTCTTTCATCCAATGCATACAAACTGATTAAGGAAAGAGAACCGGGGAGATGAACAGAAAACAAAATAAAATTTATAGAAAATCAGAATATTTTTCTTGATATATGATGAAATACCATTAAGTATGAAAGTTCAGTGTAGTGATAGAGAAAATATTGCAGACAAATGCTACTGAATGGAATAATAACCCCCAAACAAAACAAAGCATAGAATCAGAAAGACTTCTGTTTGCGTTCAATTAGGTTTGTAGTTTCTGTGTTTAACTAAGTGATGTTTCATAGAAAGAAAGATACAGATAGTAAACATGCAAGATAAAACACAACTTCTTTTGACTGTGAATTGATAACTTATAAGTAATAGTTTGAGTTAGCAAAATGTAAAATTTTTAAATAATTATACTTTTGCTGTAATGGAGAATTTGAGGGGATTGGACCTTCCATGTGGTTGACAGGGCAAATTGACTGAGGACCCCAAAATACATTTCCTTGATTGTTTTCAAAGATATTATGCTTTTCCGTCCTCAGATTCCACATCAGAAAACTAGTCCAAGGTACTTGCCGTAGGCTGCATCATAAGAAGAATTCACAAGTGATGGAAAAGCTTCCAAGGTTTATTTTTACAAATGAGTCAGAGGAGAGAATAAATCTCTTTTCATGATTTTAAAATTTAGCAGTATAAAGGTTTGGAGGGGGAAAATGTCTGGTATAATATAGACTAAATTTTCCAAATTTTACCTCTAAGGAAGATAAAGCAATGGTAGGTGGTAGATATAGTGAAATTAAGTCTTAGCACTGTCTCACTGTTGCTCTAAACCATTTACTACTAGAGGGTACAAGTAAATCTCTTTTGCTTTGTTTGTTGCTCATCTTTTTTGCGGGGACATAATTACTCTGAATCACAGGTTGGTCTGGAACTCACTGTGTATCCTAGGCAGATCTCACACTCATAGCAATCCTCCTGCCTCAAGTCTCTAGTTCTGGAATTACAGCTATACACCACAACACTGGCTCTGTATTTAAACAGCTAAAGACTAGCAAAAACTTAATGATAGATTTTAGCTAATTTCACCAAAATAGTGACATGAAAGTTTCTAGCTTACTAAATTTATAATTACATAAATAGCGTAATTCTGTACCAGACGTTAAATGAAGTGACAGTAACCACAAAGATGACACACAGCACTCTCCTTTGATTCATGCAAGCACTACCAGGAAGCCAGAAGCATACTGTGTAATAAAGAGAAAAATCTTTAGTTTCCATAGAAGGAGAGACAAGCTTATACCCAAGGGCAGAAACTAAGTATTTCCACTTGTTTGTTTTCTGTTTAAGTGAATAATAATCCAAAGAGATAAGGAGGACGTTATAGATGAGAATTTCATAAAGTACACAACCTCACATGGCCTTGAATTGATGAACTCTGCTGTGTCATTGTTGGGTAATCAGCACCCATCTCCCCATTACGCATGCACTCAGAATCTGTACAACCACAACTATGTGACTTAATCCCTCTTAACCCCAAGTCTCTACTATGAAATAGCCATGGCAAGCACAGTGCTTGGATGCATTTGCTAAGACCCAAAAAGGTCACTAACCCAAAGCCACAGCTTTGTTTTTAACTTGCTTGTGTCTTTTCCCCCTTGTTATTTTCAGAGGACAAAGCATCCCTGACTTACCCTTGTGCTTGAAAGAGATTTATATAAACAGGATTTTTAAACAATGGAATATTTATTTGAATACATAAAATACAAATAATACTTAGTTCCAAGTAGATAGAATGCATTTGCAGAAATATTTTATTTTCTATTTATTTACTTTCATTCTTGAAATAAAACAATTTATGGACAGTAGCACAGAGTGTAAACATGAAGTCCATGATACTTAAGGGTTTTTCATCTTTTGCATAAATAATAACAAGATTATATATGTCAAAGCTTTAGGGTCTTCATAAATAAACTTTCTGGTCATTATTTCCTACACAAGTTTATATAGTATTTGCATTGTATTAGGTAGTAAGCAAAAATTTAGGGAACATTTAATGATGTTCCCAGATTATATGTAAGTAGTATGTCACTTTATAAAAGACTGTGGACATCTACAAATTCTGGTGTCTGGGGAGGGTACTGGAGACACTCTGACATTAAAAGGAGAGATGCCTATATTTTATGAAAACAGGGAGATTTCCACATATATTGTATATTTAATTAATTGCTAGTACTAGGGTTTTCGTTGTTTTTGCTACTAATCCTTCATTCTTTGTGTTCAACATCTTCCTCTATTTCTGCTTCTATCTCAATGAAGTATTACTGTAATCATAAGCATACTCTCTTGATTTACTGAACTGATGATTTACTGAACTCTCTAAACCTGTGTAAAAATAATTTTTGTAGACCTCATATTTTCTTCAAGATTTTCTGCAGAGCAAACTATATACCTTAACCATTATCTTCATATATCACTCTCTCTACAGGTCTTTGTTCATCTCTACTGCTCTGTGTTTTTCCATACTAAAATGGTGTGGCAGCATGAACAGGCTAGTACTTACCTTTGCTCAACTAATGGCTCAGATTAATTAGCATGTTTTTGAATTTTTATTCATTATTGGTGTGTGTGTGTGTGTGTGTGTGTGTGTGTGTGTGTGTGTGTGATATGCAGTGCATGGTAAGTTCAGGTGAAAACAGATCATGGCACTCATGTGTGGAGGTCAGAGGACAATTTGACAATTCAGCTTTCCTCCTCCAATGTAGGTTTTGAGAATCAGGCTTCCGTGGAAAGCTTTTTAAATTTTTTTCCAGTGAGCCTTAATGATCTTTATAGAAACTTCCTTGTAGACAACCATTTTTGGATATTCTCAGTGAATGACAGACAGGGTTGTTTTGCCCCTCATGATATGCCAAATAAAAAAGGGAATTAGCAATGGCCCTATGACCCTTCAAGGTAATAACGAAAGCTAAGTTCAGAGTTGGTTGGTTTTTGTACTCTGTGTCAATAAAACAGTACCTTGTATTTGTCTTGTAAAAACTTCCTTTTGGACATTGCTTGTTTACACACATACACACACACACCACCACCACCAACACCACCACCACCACCAACAACAACAACAAAAACAGCAGCAGCAGCAGCAGCCACAACAATCTAGTTAAGTTGGTTGCAGACCTTTAATTTCATAATTATCAAATGCTCTACTTGAAAGTTCATCAGTTCAGATGGATTAGAGTGCCACGAAGAATGGACTATTTTTAACATATGTAGGAGAATTGAGATTTCATTGAGCACATAAACTATAAAAGCAGTTTCAGGTCTCATGAATGAATAAATATCTATTACTAAGTCAAGTCTTATCTTCATATGTACAAACAGAAGTAACTAGATTCATACAATTAGGGAAAATGTAGCAAACTATGTTAAATTAAAATAACAACAGGTCACCATATTCCAATCTGAATTTTTCAATAAAAGATTATTAAATTAAAAAACTGCATAAATATGACAAAATATTAGAGGATGGGATATATTTTATTATTCTGTATCCAAATTTTGTAAATATCTCAATGAACATTCTTTCATTTGATGACTAGGCAAGGAAATAACTCATTTTTAAGATTATAAATCTAATTATGAAAGTCACTTAATATTATTATAATTAAATCAATAAATACCTTTGGAAAAATGATAGGCATGTTGTAAAATATTTAATTCTCTCTTGCAGCATAGACTTTTTATAGTGAATAATATTCAAATGTAGTTTTAAAATTAAAAACACCCTAGGATTTGTGAGGAATAGCATTGCTAATGCTTGAAGGTGTTTTCTAGCAAAAGCTAGACTGTGGCACAGTGTCGAGTTCATTAATGAAGAGATTACACAAACCTGCAAAGTGTTTAACTGAACGAGCTGTGCGATTGATGAAGCTTCTGTATAGGAAATACCCTATGGCGATTATTGATTTAGGGTTTGGAGCACTGAGTATAGTTCAGATACAAACAAAAATATCATAAGAAAAAAACATATATAATTACAAATATATAATATATGATTTAAATTAATGTGAAAATCTTATAGACATGTATTTTTATTATGAGATCCAGATTAAAACATACCTGGCAAGGCTGAAGGAATCATCGATCAAGCCTGCACGGTTACTGACGGAAAGCACCTATGAGGCCAGTTAGGAAAAAAGAGAGGATGGGGGTAGTAATTCTGATCATTATAATGACAGGAACTCACACTTCAAAACAGATCACGGATATGTAGATCACGGGTGTACCTCATGGTTCCTGATTAATTGGTCAATCAGTAATCTCCAGTTCCTTAGGTCATAGTTAACTCGAAAGTAGCCCGTTTGATTGATGTTTCCGAGGATCCAGCTTCCTTTGTCCAAGTGTGCTATTCTGTGATGTTCTGAAAGTAGCATTCGAGAGTAAGTCAATTTTTAAATTTTTAGAGTTAAAATGCAACAAAATAAGTCTTTTCAATACCAGAAATAGAACTACCAATAATTTAAAGAAAATGTCACCTTAAAATGTAATTGAAATCTCAACTTTAATTAATCCCTTTAATCTAAAATCAGATAGAAAGTTTTTATTTTGTTAAACATTATTACATCAATTAATTATTTTTATAATTAACACTTTTGTTCTTGGCAGAACAGGTTTTTTTTTCATGTTTTCCTAGGAGTGCAAATAAATAAGACTTTCCAAAACCACCCATAATGATAGAACAAGAGAACCTCATTTGTTCAAGACTCTAAAGGATTCACACAGAATTAGAAACAATGAGAATGCATCCTTCCTAAAGAAATTACTTAGGTGAAATTAAAATGTGTGTTCATCGAGTGATTCAATTAACAAAGGCCAAGAAAAATGTTGTAACTTCTTCCATATTTAGCTCTTTCAAATACGGCAGAGTTACTTTTACTTGTGCTGACTTAGCCATCATAGATGTCACGAAGCTATCATCATCCAAAATTGTAATAATTTTATGTCAAGCTCCAGGCTCCTTCTTCATGGAATTTTCACAGTGGATATGAATTAAAATTTGCATGTACACACGGACACAATGTGACCTCAGATGGAAAACAATCAACAAAAAATAAAACAAACAGGTGTGCCTTAACTTCTAAGACTCAAAAGCATAGAATTTTCATCAAGCGTTTACAAATCAGAATCACTTCTAATAAACAAAACACGCTTGTAATCCTTTAAGAGAAGGGACATAGACATACTTTCAATAAGAACGAATAAGAAAATGCTGTTTGAGGTAGACTAAAGCAATGCATATAAGCAGGATAGCAATTTTCAAAAATCAGTCAAAAAATGTAATGTAATAGGTGTCAAAGTTATACTATATAATGTACTGACACTCTAAATCTGCTGTGGTCCCAGGACCTAAGGAGAACCTCCTGATTTCTGGCTAATGAACATGCTATCAAACTGCCCTCTAAATACTCATCCTTAAGCCCGGGAATCTTTCTGCTCTCAGGTTTCTTCAGAAAGTTTATTTTAATAGAGTATATTGACAAGCAGAAGTAATTTGATAAAGACAATCCTTAAATAATTGTGTCTGAATTGGGGAAAGATTAAATCTTAAGTGATGAAGGTATGTTTTCCTAAGTAATCCTGATTGCCTTCAAACATACCAAACTTTTAACAATTATTTCTTTTATTTTTTGGTATTACAATACAATTATGTAATTTCCCCCATCTTTTTCTTTACCTTAAACCTTTCACACATCACTCTTTGCTATCTTTAAAATCCATGGTCTCCTTTATATTAAATGTTGTTACATACAGGCGAATGTGAATACATATAAATTTGGAAATACACAGCTATAAACAGCTCAGTCTGTATATTCACTTGTATGTATAATTTCAGGGCTGATAATTTGGTAATAGAAATACAGTTGGTGTGCCCTTCCCTAGGGAAGGCTATTTCCCCTGCTCTCAGCATTTTGTGGTTGTTTGTAGTTCTTTGCTTCTCACAGTCCTAGTCTCTCCAGGACTTTTATCATGAAGCGGTGTTGGACTTTTGTCAAAGGCCTTTTCTGCATTTAATGAGATGATCATGTTTTGTGTCTTTCAGTCTCTTTTTATGCGAGATTACATATACCAGTTTATGTATATTGAACCTTTCCTGCGTGACTGTGATGAAGGCAACTTGATCATGGCAGATGATCTGTTTGATGCGTTTTTGGATTCAGTTTAACAAGCAAGTATTTCATTAAGAATTTTGCATATGTATGCATAGGAAAATTGGTGTGCAATTCTCATGATTGGGTCTTTATATGGTTTAGGTATCAGGGGAACTGTGGCTTCATAAAATGAAATTGGGCAATGTTCCTTCTGTTTCTGTTTTGTGGATAATTTGAATATTATTAGCATTAACTCTTCTTTGAAAGTCTGGTAGAATTCTGCACTGAATCCATCTGGTCATCTGATTTTTTTTGGTAGATTTTAATCAATGCTTCTATTTTTATTAGGAGTTAAAGGTCTGTTTATCTGATCTTGAATTAATTTGGTAGGTGGCATGAATTGAGAAAAATATTCAAATTTAGATTTTCCAATTGGTAAAATATAGATTTTAAAGTGTGTTCTTATGATTTTCTTGATTTCTTCACTGTCTGTTGCTATAACCCCATTTATATCTCTAATTTTGATAATTTAAATAATTTGGATATTCTCTGTATGTTTTTTAATTGGGATAAGGATTTGCCAAGCTTAGAGATTTTTCTCAAAGAGCAAACTCTTTGTCTCATTAATTCTTTGTATTATTTGTTTATTTTTATTTTACTGATTTCAGCACTGAGTTTCATTGTTTCTTTCCATCTATTCCATTTGGGTGTGATTTCTTTCCTTTTTTTTCTAGATTTTTTTCCTTTCCTTTTTGTTCATATCTTTCAGGTTTGATGTTAAGTTACTTATAAGAGATAGTTATTATTATTTATGTCGACAGTGTTACACATTGCCTCTTGGAACCTCCTTCATTGTCTCTCATCAGTTTGTGTATGTTGTGGTTTCATATGCATTCAATTAAAGAAAGTCTTTAATTTCTTTCCTAATTTCTGTCTTGACCCATTTCTCATTCAGTAGAGATCTGTCCAACTTCCAAAGGTTTGTAAGTTTCCTGTTATTTCTGTTGCTTATATCCAGCTTTAATCCTTGTGATTGATAGGATGCAGGGAGTTTTTCAATTTTCTTGTATCTGTTAAGAATTGCTTTTTGTACAGGTATGTGAAAGAGGGTAAATTTTTGACTTTGTGATGAAATGTTCTATAAATATATGTTAGGTCCATTTGGCTTATGATTTCAGCTAGCTTCAGTTGTCCTGTCTTTTGGCAAGGGTTTTGAATTCACCCACTAACACTAAGTGAAGGTCAATGTGTGATTTAAATTGTAGACTTGTTTCTTTTAAGAACTTTGGTGCCCCTGTGTTTGGTGCATAGACGTTAAGAATTGAAATGTCATCATGGTGAATTTTGCTTTGATACGGATTATAAAATTATTTTATTATATTATACTGTGCATAACTAGTGTGAATAAAATGAAACCACACATACCCAAATTTCTGAGAGACAATGAACAAAGCTCTAAGAGGTAAATTATATTACTAAGTGTCTACATTTAAAAGTATATATATTATTACATACAAGAATATATTAGATATATGTATACATATAGATATATATTCTTTGTGCTCTAACATGCATTCTAAATAAATAAATGATCCTTACATTCAAATAAATAAATTTAGTAATGTTATTTTTAAGGTTTGTTTATTTTTAACTCGGTGTGTGTGTGTGTGTGTGTGTGTGTGTGTGTGTGTGTGCAAGCGTGCAAAGGTATGTTCACATGATTACAGGTACATCTAAACCCAAGAAGACATTGGATCTCATGAATGTGGAGTTATGGGATGTTGTGAGACACCCAAAACTGCTTCTGAGAACCAAACTTATTAGATCTTCCGTACTCTTAACCCCAAAGACATTATCAGACCCATTTATTTAGATAATTTTCATTAGTGAGTTTTCTGGCTAAGCTATAGAATCAAGCTTAATATATGAGCAAATGACATACAGTTTATAAACATCGAATGTTAATCTAATTTTACAATATTGAATTTATTTTTAAGTTGTTCCTTATTTACAAATTGGATACCAAAGCACAAATCCCAAGTAATCCAATTTGTTATTATTTTTATTTATTATATTAAAACCCTTCTAGGTAGATTATAGTCCAGTGAGGGTGTATATTGAAACATGAAAAAAACTATATATTTTCTCCATTGCCTAACTAAGATATGAAAGAAAGACATCAATTGTTTTAAAGCTTTCTATTATTAAACTTATAACCAAAACCTAAAGTTATTACTATTCATGAATATTTGTATGGCTTTATTACAAATGAGATCTTTGGGAAACAATTCCCAGAAAGATTTTGTAATAGATTTTAAAATGTCTTCACAGTACTAGTTAATTACATTCTCAAAATGTTCTGCAAATTAACTAATAGCAGGCAATGAATTTTAAAAAGTTCTCTTCTGATGGCCTAATGAGGTATGATGTTTGATGAGTTCTGTAGCAAAAAGTATGGAAGTTATAATTCAAATGTTCATAATAATAATTGAAAACCTTATTTATATCCAAAATGGCACAAGACTCAGGCTATATCAAGGCACAGAGGAGTTGGTATTTTATAACATATTTTATTTTATAGTAACTATAGAAATGACAGTGGAAATGATAGTAAAGCAGTTCTAGTCAAATATGCTACTTGTAGAAAATGATAACTAAAAATAATATAAGTAGAAAATTCAGTTATAATAGCATGCTAAAACAATATAGAAATTATAGCATATATTGATCTTTTTCACTGGATGCTTGTGAAAATTCAATATCATAATATCTGGTGAACTCCATCAATACCAATATACAAATTTCCAAAACACTGTTGAGAAACTGACAGAGCTGCAAGCCAACTTATTAAAAATATAAGTGTGTGTGTGTGTGTGTGTGTGTGTGTGTGTGTGTGTGTGTGTGTGTTCAGGAGCTGAAAAAACAAAAGGAAGCTCCTAAAAGGCTCTTTTAACCTGGCTAAACATTTGGCACATTGGGCAAACATTTATCAAGACATGATCTTCACATTTGTAAAATGTGGATAAAAAGATAATACTGATTTTCAAGATTTGTGGGTTGGAAGTCAATCACTTTATAGCAAAGCTATAACTAATGCCATGTTTAATATTTTGGATCAAATTATCTTCAATATTGTATCTTTTCTTCCCTGATGTTTGGCATTAAATCTGTCTCCTTCCTTCCACCATCCAGGAATAGCCAGTTAGCATACAAGTTATTATATTCATAAATGTTTGAACTATTTTCATTTCCACAATAAAAAATGAAAAGA